AGGGACATTGCAATCATATGTGAAACGTGCTCTTTGAGGGGATATAACCACTCTGTGCACCCCACTTCTTTGCTGCCCTTCTTTCCTTGGGGAAGGAAGGCCTGGGCTATATGGTCCTCACATTTGGCTCAGAATAAACTCACCCCAATTTCCATTCATAGCTTGGTTATGGATTATATTTGTTGGTAAAGCAAACATGAATATTTGTGAAGGAGAATGTCGTGTTTAAATAAACTTTCAATTTTATGAAGAGCACCACAGTGGCCCAACCTCTCATTTCCCGTGTGAGGAGAACGGCGTCACGGTCACGATCACACAGCGGCTGAGTGACCTCTGAGCCAAGGAGGGTGAACATAGTTCCTCATCAGTGAGTTTCTGGGAAGATTGGCAGAGACGATGGTGAAAGTACCCGACACGTAGCGCTCAATAATTATTCGTTGTTATTGGTGTTACCTTTAACGGTTGACGATAGAGCTGGGACTCCATCTGCAAGTTCAGTCCTGGATCTTGGTGGCTCTTGGTGACGTGGGTCCTTGCTTTTATTTGGGTCCATTTCAGCTACAAAATGGCTTTGAATCCTCCCGGGAGGCATAAGACACAGGCCTGTTGACAAATATCTTAATCTAAGCAGCGAAGTCTCCACTCCACGGACCTCCACATTCCCCAGATTCACGCCTTTAGCTCCCTGCGGGATCCTCAACCCCTCCAAGGAGAACTTGGGGAACAATCACATGTCTTGCGGGGTATGGGGAAGGGAAAGGAGGATGGAGTGTCTTAATGTGCCAATGCTTGCCTCCCCGGACCCCTCCGCAGTATCTCCCCGCTCCCAGGGCTCCCCCAGAAGGCACAGAGAAGAGCCCCAGCCTGTGCCCGTCATCTGCTCCCCCTTGAAGTTCTCTCTCCTTCGGGCTCCCCGTCAAGCGCTTTCTGCCTCCACCTCTGATCATTCCTTTCTGTTTCCTTTGTGGGCTCTCAGCCGCCCTCAAGTGCTGGCGTCCCTCGGGGTGCTGAACTGCTCCTCCTCTCCAGCTCTCTCTAGACTGAAGTCACGCACGTCTCCATCTCAGCCTGGCCCCTCTTCTGCCCTCTGTGTCCAGCTGCCTTCTAGACAGTTCCATGTGGATGTTCCTCAAACCTCTCAAACTCAATAAATCTTCAAAGGAATTCTCTGGCCCTCCCCAGCCCCTCCATCTGTGGCTCCTCCTGAATCAAGTGAGTTGGCCCAACCCGGAAACCAGGAGCCCTGATATTGGCTGACCCACTAGACTGTAAACTCCTTGAGGTCAGGATCCAAGTCATAGTCTTCTCCACGTTCCCAGCGCCTAGAGAACGTGACCAACACAGAGTAGGACCTCAAGAAATGTCTGCTGAATAGATGCATGGATGGATGAGCAGATACATGGATGAACAGATGGATGGATGGATGGATGAACAGATGGATGGATGAACAGATGGATGGATGGATGGATGAACAGATGGATGGATGGATGGATGAACAGACAGATGGATGGATGGATGGATAGATGAACAGATAGATGGATGGATGGATGGATGGATGGATGGATGGATGGATGGATGGATAGACGGATGGATGGATGGACAGATGGATGGATAGATGGATGGATGGATGGATGGATGGATAGATGGATGGATGGATGGATAGATGGATGGATGGATGAACAGATAGATGGATGGATGGATAGATGGATGGATGGAAGAACAGATGGATGGATGGATGGAGACATGGATGGACAAAGGGGAAATCTCTGGCCCAGCCTAGATCTCTAAGCTCTCTAGGATAAAAGACAGAGCTAAGCCAGCCACATTTCTACACTCTTCCCTCAGCCTCGCACTCAGGTCCCCCTTACCTGAACTTAATGGGAAAAGAAGTACTTCGCAGCAGGAAGGGAGAGAGAAGATGTGACGTCAGGCTGCTGATGAGGGAGGAAAGAGGAGAAGATGGCAGAGGAGGTGGCAGAGGAAGCCGGAGGGCAGGGGTTCATGCCCAGTACTGAGTACCGGTCCAGAGGCATCAGGGGGCAGTGCGCACAGAGAGGAGGTGAGGATACTAGAAAGCTTAGACTTTTTTGAGAGTCCAGAGAAGTACTCAGGCCCTGTGTGTGCCAGCCTCCTTCTGGAACCCCCGCAGAGACTCCCTTGGTGATGAGCTCTGACTGCATTGCGTGCAGAGACGGGTGCTGCTGGCTGGGCGGAGCCAGTCTGGGCTGGGTCATATAGCCATCTCTGCCCTAGGGACATTTCGGCTTGTGTGACATCCCGAGGACTGATGGTTCATGGCCTTTCTGTGATGTCAGCATGAAGCTCGTGCCTGGTTGCACGGTGGGTAACCCCGGCACACCTTTGACTCAACGCATCCCCAGGGCCCTTCCTAACTCCCTGAATCTTCTTGCCTGCAAATGGCCTGTCCAAGACCACACCCAGACGGCTGGCAGCATGCAGGGGGTGGGGGTGAGGTTCTGGAAAAGCAGCAGACAAGGCAGGGCCCACCTGGCTTCCTTTATCTCCAGCTCTGTCCAGACTGCTCCAAGACATGCACCCTGACGCAGTCTGCGGTGGACCTGTGAGGTGACCATGGGTCCTGGTTTGCCGGGGACAGTCCTGGTGCTTAGTGTCCTTATGAATACTGTTGCTACCCTATCCGCTATCAGGAGCATCCCAGTTTGAACGACACGTTATATGGCCGTCCTGTTTACAGGTGCTTTAAGATCCTCTACTGTGACTGGGGCCACTTGGGTCCTTTCCCTGGACCTTTCTAAGGACATGTCACAGCACAGGTTGCCAGGTCCTCATGGGGACATCCATCAACAGCCCCACCACTTCTGAGGGGACAAATCCAGACCAAAGAAGGAAGTGCAGGCGTTTGCCCTTTTGTAAAATCTTGGGCAAGACTCCACGGCTCAGCTCTCCAGGACGCTGAGAACTGAAGGGAGAGGGGACAATCCCAGGGGGTCGCCACCTTTGGGCAGCAAGCACATGGTCTCTGACACTCAGCGTGGCTCTGGAATTCAGTGTACCTGTTGATCTATTGCTTGCTCAGTGCAGGAAGGACCGGGAATTCTCCTGCTTTCCCCTCCTACATCTTGGTTGGGTCGGAGGAGGACAGTTCAATCTAGAAACACTGCTTGATACTTGCACACGTCCCAGGCTCGGAGGGCCCTCTTCATGTGAAGGGCCTGGCCGAAGGACAGAGCTTTCTTATGGTAAAAGGCAAGAAACACCTAGACAAAGACTTCATTTTCTGGATTATAAAATTCTTGACTTTGTTCCCAGAAGAGAGCTGATCCAGCCTGTGGGGGCCTGAGCCCTTGACACCTGTCCAGGCTGGAAGAGGTGGCAGCTGCATCTATGTGTGACGTGGGATGAGGGGTGACCGGCAAACCCTCCAGGACCTGTCCCCAGTTATCTGCCACGGACAGAGGGAGGCTGCAGTAATTCCTTCTCAGAGAGCGCTCCAGATGCCAAGGATCCAGGAGGACGTTACACACAGACACACCCACAGAACGCACACAGTCACAGTGCAACGAGAGCCCGGGATCTGAGCATGGTTCGTATCCCACTCGGCCTGCACTCAGTAAAAACCTTGCAATTGCACCGTGGAGAATAAAACCCTTTGGTCTTGGAAATGCAGTCGACAACCCACAAAACTGTACATACTGGAAGATACGGTTCCGTCTCCCCGAGGCTCTCACTTCTTCGTTCCGCTCCCCGTTCCTGGGAACGCCAGTCTCTGACACTCCTCAGGTTCCTGCAAACCCAAACCCACAGCCCCAAACACAGGGCGGTGCTCCTGCTGGGGGCGGGGCCGGAGCCAGGAAGAAACAGTCCCTTCCTCCATTGCCTGAGCTCTTTGTCCCTGGGGGCGCTGGGTTTCTGGGCTGTCTCTGCGTGCAGGAAAGAGGTGGGGGTCTCCCCTGCCAGGCAGCTGCTCTGCAGGCTGCGACCCTCTCTGCCCTCTGAAATGCCTGCAGCAGGCGCTCGGGAGGGGCTGGGGACCGGGTGGGGTGGCACAGCCAGGGGGTAACTGCCCCAGGGCAGCTGTGAGGGGCCTGTGTCTGTCGTGCTGAGGTTGGAGGTCCCGAGAAAAGCCCCAGCTGAGGCATCCACTTTTTAGGGCTGCTGTTTTTGGGGGGTGGAGTGGGGCGTTCTCCTGTGGATGCAAGGAAGGCTGGGGAACGCTGAGGGGACAAAGCTGTTGGGGGAGGGAGCTGACATTTATCCAGCTCCATGTGGAGGGCCACTGCTGGAGGCCCACACGGCCACATCCCCTCACCACATCCTGCAGATCGTAGGTCGTACCCCTTTCACAGATGCAGCACCTGAGGCCTAGAGGGGCTAAGTGTCTAGGCCAAGGGACCAGCGGCTAGGAGGAAGGGGCAGGATCAGAGCTCCGGTCTGTCTTGCTCTGGAGCCCAAACGTGTCCCTTACACCTTGCCACCAGGAGGCACAAATGTAACACCCCCCTTTCTCTTGGGGCACAAGTTTTTCTCGGGTCTGATCTCCCAGGTCACATCTCCAGCCTCCCATCTGGCTGAAGGGAAACCCTGAGAGGTTGTGGGCACGTGCCAGATGTTTCTGCCATGGTGGTGCACAGCGGGCACACACAGTGTCACACATGGCCAGCGCACAGTGGGTCCATGGGGGCACAGTGGGCATACAGTAGTCACACAGCGGCAGAACACAATGAGCACACAGTGGTTGCACAGTGGGTCCACGGGAACGCACAGTGGGCACACAGTAGGTCACTCAAGAGGCCGCACACAACAGCGCAGTGGGTCCGCGGGGGTGCACAGTGGTCACACAGAGGCAGAACGCAGTGGGGGCAGAGTGGTCACACATAGCGGGCGCACACAATGGCGCACAGCGGGTCCGCGGGGACGCCTGGGTTAGCGTCTCCTGCCCGCGCCAGCGGGCCACCGCGGGTCTTGGGGGGCCGCCCCCGGCTTCGCGCCGTGACATCAGCTTGGTGGTGCAGTGTGCAAAGCCCTCTGGTTGGCGTGGCCGGGACACGCCTCCCGGAGCGGAACAAAACGGCGCGCAGGCCGGGCGCACCCAACCGCCGCCTGGAGAGCGCTGCCCGCCCGCCTGGTGACCCAGACGCCAGCTGAGCCCTCCGCCCGGTGACCCAGCCGCCAGGTGAGCGAGTGCGCCCGGGGGTCGCGCGGTCCCCGCCCGCGCGCTGCACGCACCGAGCGCCCCCAGGCTGGGCGACCGCGAGGAAAGTTGGAAGGGAAAGTGGCGCGGCCGGGGGGCCGGTGGCGGCCGGGGAGCTGGAGCGGTGGCCGCGGGTACCCGGGGCGGCGCTGCTCTTTCCAGGAGGCGCTGGGCCCCTCGCCGCCCGGGGCTTCCGGACGCAGAAGCCCCCGCGTGCCCCGACCCGGCGCCCCGCTCCCTGCGCCGCTGGCAGGTCTGGCCGCAAAACAATCGGCGATTCTGCGCGCCACTGACGCTCATTGTACGGCGGGGGGATGAGGGCATCCGTGCCACCCCGCCCTCACCCTCCTGCTCCGGGAACACGTGCCCGCGGGGGGCGGGGACATCTGGCTTCTCGCGGGCCTGAGGCATCAGTGCTGGAGCGCAGGTGTGGCGGGAGAGCGAGGTGGAAGCTGCGACGTTTCACTTCCCCCTGCACCAAGTTTCCGGGCTAGGAGGGGACGATTAGGAAGCCTGAAAGACCCCACAGCGAGGATTTTGTAGCCTCCGCCCTTGAAGGCTGGAGAGCAAGAAAAAGGCCGGTATGGAGCACATTCAAAGCAAGTGGCCATATGTCCCCCAAAAGGCCACTCTGCGGCCGGTGTTGTTACTGACTCTCACAGGCCTGAGCGGGGTCTGCAGCTCCTGGTCCCTGTGCTGCTGGAAACTCCTCAGGCCCCGGTCCAACCGGGAGCAATCGGTCAGGCCCTTCCCCCGAGGCCTGGGCTGCAGCCATGCAGCCCTGCTCCTGAGGGTGAGTGGATGTGTGGGCCCCCCGCCCCCCCCGCCCCCCCCCGCCCCCCCCACCGAGAGGGCTCTGCACTGGGGTCCCGTCACAGTGGCACTGAGGAAGTCCGCCCGGCTCTGATGGAAAGGGCATTTCCAGGAGGCAGCCTGGGATCTTGGTGAGCAGTTGTCAGGAAGGCGGACTGAGTCCTGACAGTTGGATTTGCTGCTTAAGCCACGGGTGAACTGGGACGGCTGACTGGACTGCTCAGTGCCCTTTGGGGACGGCACTCACTCTGGGAACGTGCTTCACAGACCTGGAATACGGTGGGGCTCCGTTACCGTTGACCCCCTGGTCCTCTCCCCTCCTCCCCCGCCCCCTAGAAGCAAGGAGGCTGCGGTGCCGGGCGCCTCTCTCTCTCTGTCGGCTTAGCGCAGAGTGGGCATCTCTCCCACGTGGGATTTGGGGACCTGGGTGCTGAGCTTCACCTGCTCTCGAGCGACGGCACCCTCCTGATTCTCCAGCTGGGCTGCCACTCGGGAGCCCAGGGCCACCTCTTGCAGAGAGACTGTCCCCAGCCCTCAGCTGCCCCTCCTAGCTGGATCGAGCCTTACATGGCTCGCAGGCTCCCGGGGACCTGGCTCAGGGAGGATGTCTGGGGCGAGGGACAGTCGGACAGGGAAGGAAGTTTGTCTGCAGAGGGCGTGGTGTGGGGGGTGGGGGCACTGCCCTGGGTAGGGGGTCTGGGGAGATGCAGGAGAGAAACTGCAGAGCAGGCCCACCCGCCCAGCACGGGCTGCTGACAAACGTGAGGACAGGAGGGCTGCAGCCTTGCCCCTGGGCTGCCCTCACACCATCCTTCCTGGCCCGGGTGTTTTCTGTTCTCATTGCCAACGTCGGCCTCTGGGGCCAACGTCCTCAGTGGGCCAGAATTGCACCGGGAGTGCCTGTTGACTCTTGGGTGGGGCTCAGTAAATGTTTGCTGAATGAAAGGGCAGGAAGGGGCTTTTCGCTGAGCTGGCCTCCTGGACACTCATAAACCTTGCAGGTGGTTACTGGCCAGTTTTCCCCCATGAGTAGCATTGTGGGCCAGGTGAGGGCAAAAGGCAGCGTTTTATTCACTGTGGGTCTCCTGGTGGGGACAGCAAATGGGGAGGGCTTTTTTGATGGGCTGCTAAAGTTTGTTGTTTTTATTTTTAAAGACTGGCGCCTGAGCTAACGTCTGTTGCCAATCTTCTTTTTTGTTTTTCCTCTTCTTCTTCTCCCCAAAGCCCCCCAGTACACAGTTGTGTATTCTAGTTGTGAGTGCCTCTGGTTCTGCCACGGCTGCTGAAGTGTTAACTTCAGGTAAGCCTGACTTATGGTGAAAAGTTGGCTTCCTTAATTACTGAAGAGTCAGGCATTAAACATTTTGAGATCCGAGAGGCGCTAGTGAGAATAAAAGGATCTTTTCTTCCAAGTTAACCATTTGCCATTGCTTGGGCGTCCTGGCAAGTCTTGGAGTTGGCCTTTCCTTGAGAGCATAGTAAACAGATATCTACGCTTGCCGGTGCTGGGGACTGGCCTAAATCCTTCACGTGTATTATCGTGGACCATCTATGAGGTACGTGTGGATGCCCCCCATTTTACAGATGAAGAAACTGAGGCTCAGAGCTCGTAGTAACTCGCTCAGTATTGAGCTGCCATCCAAACCAGGTGAACTCCTTCCAGCCCTCACGCCTGGTCACCGTGTTACTATTTTTCTCCACTCCCTTACATTTCCTGTTTCTAGATCGGCTCACTAAGGAAGAGCCTGCCATTCAGGAAGCTTCACAGGCTACTTGCCAGCCGCTTATAATCCGTCTGAGGACCATATGGCTCTGCCAGTATGAACGTGGACGGAGTCAGGGTTAGAACTCAGACCTCCAGGTGTGCTCTCTGCCGCATGGCCAGGGAGGAGGGGGCCCCCCCCTGGAAGTTGGCCTCCAGACCCAGGGGATCTGCCTTCCCCAGGTCTGATGGTGTTTGAGTTTTGGGGCCAGGTTTGCAGGAAAGAAATGAAGCCTGGAAAAGAGCTTGCTTGAGGAAAAGACACACACACACATGCACGCACGCACAGTAGATGCGCGGGTGGAGGGGAAGGGGAGGGGGCCCTGGCTGCTGACAGGCGGCTTCCCCGCGGTTTCCAGTTGTCAGGAATTTCTCTTGGGATGACGTGACCATCCGACTGCACAGCTGCCCAGGAATTTGTCTGACGTCAGCACCGAGTAATTCCCATGTATGGTAAAGTGCGTAAATACGAGGCGTCTAGCATTTCCAGACTCAGCTTCCCGAGGGCCAGAAGGCAGCGTCTGACTCCGGCCGTGACGGGGGAGGAAGAAAGAGAAGGTTGGCGTTAGCTCAGGCTCGGCCCCATCAGGCAGCTGGCCCTGTCTCCCCCGTGCCGGCATCCTTTATGGCGGGGTGGCCGGGGGTGGGGTCCCTGAGATGTGAGCTGCAAAACGACCTGTTTTTATAAGGTCTGAGCGCTCGTTTCTTTTAAAAATTCATCAGAGGAAAGTCATTCAGAACTTTCCACATGGGACAACCCCTTGTCACTGCTGTGAGCTGACATCATTCCAGATGAAAGCGAAGAAACCTGATCTCTTGATGAGTCTGAGAGACCCTGTAACAGTGGACTCCGTGTAATATATTGTTCTGGAAGACTTCCCAGAAGTCCTAGACCCCCATTTCTACCTTGGTTGACGTTCACATCTCTGAGCTCTGGCGGGAGAGCCGTGCCCTGCAGGGCGTTAGGGACAGCAGGGAAGGAAGACAAGGCCCCCAGGTCAGCTCACAATCCCCGGGGGCCACAGACGGGCATTTGAAAAGAGCAGCTCACACCACAGAGAGAGAGAGCTGGAACGACGGTCAGGGCCTGGGGTACCGAGAGCCCAGAGTGATGGCAGCTGTGGGGCTGGTTAGCATCTTAGAGAAGCGAGTCGTGTGCGGGGTTCCGAAGAAGTCGTCGGGGGACACGTGAGGCCGAGTGCGAGTTGGCATCTCCATATTGGTCATCGGTCCGCCTGCCAGTGACCGTTCCTCTCATGTTTCCTGGGCCTTCAAGTGTCACCTCCAAGCCATGGGCTCTGAATTCTGGCCAGCAGGGCCCCTCCCTCCCTCTCTCTCCTTGGCTGCTCTCCTGCCGTGGGGGTGTGGGGAAGAGGCTGAGCTGCAGGCTTGGAAAGGATGACAGCTCCCCCGTGTCCCTGGCCAGATGCCGCGGAGCTCAGGTGATGGGAGCTGCGTGTTTCCAACCAGCAAACACCTGACAGGTCTCCATCGGGCCAAGCGGGCGGGTCGAGGCCCCCGCCCAGAAGTCACTCTCTGGCCCGAGGGCACAGGAGGTTTTGGAAAGGAAGAGCTGGGGTTTTCCCACTGGAGAAACAAAGGCAGGGAATGGTTTGTCACATCAATGGTTGATGAGAGGAGGTGCTCCTTGAGGCGCTGGTGGCCAGCCGTTAAGCACTGTACATCGCTAAGGTGGGTCCTTAGACTTGAAACACCACACCGATCCCATTACGCCATCCCAGCCTACATGAGCTCTGTGAGCATGACAGTCTGTGCTCTGGCTCAGCTCCTTTCTCCGCTGCTCTGTGAGCCGCCATCTTGAATCTCTCCTCTTGAGACTGAGGATCTGGCTACAGCTCTTAATGGGACGACCAGAGAGGAAGGTGTGGGCGGCAGACTCGAGCCGGTGGCTTACCAGAAGAGGCCAATCCTTGGCTTCTAGTGTCCACCCAGCCCTGAGGATCCTGACCTCTCAGGTCAATAGCTGACCAGATTTTTCCAGCCATGCAGCAGAAAGTTCCAGCCCTTTTCTCTGCTGAGATGATCAACACAGCGAAGTTGGACAAACCAGAACAGGCGGCCGTTCCCAATGGGAATGTGTCTCTGAAGGGGACCCACGCAAATACCCAGCACGTGGACGATGAGATTACGGAGGGCAGCAGTGCTTCTGATCACCTGGAGCAGCTGCCAGAGAGCTCGGGATCCAGACCAGTCTCTGCTTGCCTCCCAGGTAGCCGGCAGGAGCCCAGCCCCAAAGAAGGAAAAGTCACTTGTCCCAGACACGCTCGCTGGGCTGACGGATAAGTCAGGAATTCCTGGTCCTTATTTGGCGTGTTGCTTCTCAAGCCTGGCTCCCTCCAGATGTGGACTAGCTGGGAAGGAAAGTGGACGTCTGGCCCCACATCTG